ATTTGATGGACTTTGGGCCCTTGTCGAAGATCAGGTGACCGTAGGTGGATGGATTTACATCTGGGTTCTCAATTCTGTTCCATTGGTCAATGGATCTGTCGTTGTACCAGTACCAGGCTGTTTTGACTACTGTAGCTGTATAGTAGGTTCTGAAGTCAGGTAGTGTGAGTCCTCCAACTTTTCTAGTAATTCATTCTTAATGTGTGTTATAACAAAATTATTGTTCTGCAATAGAGTGGACATAAAAAAAAAAAAGACAAAAAACAGGTCCTTCAGCACAGATATTTTGAGAAGCACTGCTCCAGGCTTTGTGTCTCTTTCTCTTCTCTGCCTCTTAGCTCAGTGAGTTTCTTGAATTTTCCAGCTTAAAGCAGTATCTTCCTTCTCTAAATATCTACAGCCCAACCTGCACCTGTTTTATGGTGTTCACACTCCATCTTGAATTATAGCTATTTATATATTTTCTTTGTCTTTTCTATTAGACTCTTGTCAGCACACATATACGTAATTCTGATCACTATTCCACTTCTCAAACACACTCTAAAATGGGTTGGCAAACTACGGCCCACAAGTCACATTTGGCACGTGACCTGTTTTTTTAAAGTTTCGTTGGAATACAGCCATGCTCATTTATTTACACGTTGTCTATGGCTGCTTTCACTCTACAATGGCAGAGTTGATTAGTTGTGACGCAGACTGTGAGGCCTGCAAAACCTAAAATATTTAATATCTGGTCCTTAACAGGAAAAGTTTCCTGACCTTCCAATCTAAAAGAAGATGTGCAATGTATTCACAGAGAAAAATATAGCATTTTGAGTTTTCCAAACTGAAAATCAGAGACAACCACCCAACAAATAATCAACCAGCACACATGCCTGTAGCAAATTCATGTAGGTGATTCAAAACGGCTTTTGAATAGAAACAAAAATAAAACCGCTATTGATTAAGGGAGAGGTTCCTGTAGGCCCTGATCTTTAAGCTCGCTCCCATTCTCTATGTTCGCTAACAGGGAACAGTAAATAGCTAGGCCTTACTCCCCTTCCCATAATTCACTTTTTCAAAAAATTATATTTACTGAACTCACCAACTACAGGATCTGCTCTCTTTCAGGCCCTGTCCTGGACAGTTGGGCTCCTCTTGCTGTACAGGTAACTAAGTGGTATGCATGTAGGCGTGGACAGGGGGATGGTAGCTAGAGGGTTGTGGAGATAAATGTGGAGGATTCAGCATAAATTCAGTTTGTCTATCAGCTCGGTTGGGCTCTTGGGCCCAACTGTAGTAACCAGGCTTCACTGCAGAGACTTAGTTCACACTTTAAAGTTCTGATCACTGGATCTCTGCTTTGTTCCCTATGACTAAGTGCCTGGTGGAAAGGAAAAGGATTATTACACTTGTTTATGGACCATATTTTTCCCCCCATAAAGAATGAAATGATCAGAGCATCAATCGAAACAAAGACCAGTATGAACAATATATTAAAATTCAAGACCAGAGAATAGATCCTAGCAATAAATGTCAGACTAAATGTTAGAACGAAAATGAAGCTAATAATAATTTTTTTAGCTAACATTTATTGAAAGCACAGTATGTACTGGGCATTTGTTAAATACTTTATGTTTATTATCTCATTTAATCTTCAATAATCTTATTATCCCCTTTTTGCATATGAGAAAATTGAGTAATTTGCCCAAGGACACAGAACTAGTAGGTGACAGCTTCTGGCAAGGAGTTTGATGTCAAAGCCCAGGCCGCTAAACCACTATGTATACAGTGCATTGCCTTGGGCATTTGGCACTGTGAGCCTAACCATCTACAGTAACTCTCACAGTTAATTATCAAATATTGGGTCTTGGGGTCAGACGACCTGGGTTTGAATTCTAGTTCTGCCACTTAGATCTTGGGTAAATTTAATCTTCCTGAGCTTCAGTTTCCCCACCTGTGAAAAAGGAGATGAAACTACCTACCACACACAGTTATAAGGATAAAATGACGGAATTTAAGCGAAATACTTTCCTGGAGTGTATGCAGACTTGGAATTGTTTTACCATGAGTATGGGTGGTAATTCAGGTCTTCTTCTTTGAGGTTTCACATTATAAAAGGAAGCAAATACAATTTGCTTTCTGCTCTCATTTGCCTTCAACTTGACAATCTATTACCTTGTTTTTATCCTGTGTATCCACTTCTCCTGGGGCCATAAACTTCAGCAGAAGCGCCAAACACTTGGGGCTCTTGTGCCGGGTAGTCAAGTGCAAAGGAGTCATCTCTTCTAGATCCTTTTGCATCCAGTTTGCTCTACGTGTGAGTAAAAGTTTCATGAAACGATAATTTCCCTAAAAAAAAAAAAAAAAACCCAAGAGATGGTAAGAAGAAATTTAGTTTGGGGGAAAAAAAATCAATCTTAAATCTTAGAATGTTTTAAGTATTTTAATTTTTCTGTTAGAGTAATAACACTCAGAGAAATTAATAAAACAATACTTCTAATTCCAGCAGATGTCAATTGTTTTTTTTTATGTTTCCTTCCAACCATTTTCTATACACATGTAGTTTACATATTCTATAATATTTACAGTGTATAACAGTGTACAGTATTTAATTGTGGTAAAGCAACATGTTTTATTTAACCATTCTATTATTGTTAAGTATTTAGAATGTTTCCAATATTTTACTTTTATAGAAAATATAGCAATGTACATCTTTTTTTCACACAGTTTTTCCTTCTTTTTAAATTTTCATAAGAATAAATTATCAGGAACCAATTACTGAATCAAAGGAGATCAAACATTTTACAGTTTCTGATGTACTTTCCAAATTGCTATATAGTAGCAGCAATGTATGAATGTATTAGTTTCAACAATTCTGACCAATATAACCAAAACCAAACCCACTGCCATCGAGTCAATTCCAACTCATAGCAATCCTACAGGACAGCAGAACTGCCCCATAGGATTTCCAAGGCTGTAAGTCTTTATAGAAGCAGACTGCCACATCTTTCTCTCAGAGTGGCTTCTGGGTTTGAACCACCAACCTTCTGGTTTAGCTGCTGAGTGCTTAACTATTGTGCTATCAGGGCCCCCTCCCCTGACTAATATAGTCCCTATTATTTATGTAGTTCAAAGTATAACAACTGTGAAATAAGCAGAGATTTTCAACCCCTATTTACAGGTGGAGCCTTGGTAGTGCAGTAGTTAAGAGCTCAGCTGCTAACTAAAAGTCTGCCATTTTGAATCCACTAGCCACTCCTTGGAAACCCTATGGGGAAGTTCTGCTCTGTCCTACAGGGTCACTATGAATCAGAATCTACTCGACGGCAATGGGTTTTGTTTTGTTTTTCACAGGTGAGGGAATTGAGATTCAAAGGGGTTAAATGTTTTGTTCACAGTCATCTGGTTAGTAGGAGTGTATGATTAGTTTTGTTTTTTGTTTTTTTTAAGAGAACTGTTTACAGATACAACTAAGGTAGAAGGAGCTTATTCAAAGTTTGTATCCCAGATTCATATGGTCACCTAAACACCAACCCGGAAGTTATTGTAGGCCCATCCACTTGTAGGCGGTATTCTCCATTATCAGTTAAACTATCTAAATTGGTAGAACTGACTCATCAGGAGAAAGCAGCTTAGCTACAAAGGATAAAGGAATGCAGTGGTGGGGAGCCAGGCCAACTGCTATATATCTGTGTAATATGGGAGTTTTGAAACATAACAAAACTCTCTAAAAAATCGTTCTTTTGAGCTCTTTCCTGAGATCTAGTTCCATATTTCCAGTTCTGGTTAGAACCTTCTGTAGGCTTGGTATAACAGATACCTCAAAGTCAACAATACCAAACAGTATGTAAGAACATGAGTAAGTTCTCTGCCAAAGGTCATGCCTAATATTTATCTTTCCTTATTCAAAGCACAGTCGCAGGCAGGGTTATCTGTCTTTTTCATCTTGTGAGACCCTCTCCACTCATAACCTTGTTGGAAATGGGGCCTTTTAGCATTATAATACATTGATGTTCTACTATGAGAGACTATAAATATTAGCAAGAAAGACACTGCAAATCCTTTGGGAAGAACGTGAGGCTGTAATACAAAGGGGACTAGCTACAGCAACAATGAGGTGTAGAGAATGAATAAGATTTGCCTGCCTGACCACAGGGGCAGAGATAGGATTCAACTGAGCTCAAGAGTTGAGGCAGAGATAAGAAAGAATAAGACCAGGAAAGAGGGATCCATAAGAGTGTTCATATTAGATGAGCAGAATTGGCATGGACTGAAAAACAAACTAATGGGTATGGTAAAGAAATATTTTGTACTATTTTCCAGATTATTGACTATGAATAAAATAGATTCTTTCTAGTGATAGACTGACCTGTTTGCTTTTCTGGAGGTGGACAAGATATAATGAAATCATTTTTCCTGCATCCTTCTAATTCTCTTCATTTATTCACTCATTTAACATATATTTATTAAGCATCTACTATGTGCTTATTAGATATTGAAGATCCTTTCATGAATGAAATTAACAGGTATCTGTCCTCATACAGCTCAGAGTCTAGGTGGGGAAGACAAATATTGTATACGTATACTGACTACTACAAACAAATGCAATGGAATTATATAATAGGAGGGCCCAATCTAACCTGGGAGGGTTCAGGGAAGACTTCCTAGAGGAAGTTCCACTTAAGCTAAAACCCAAAAGATAAGTAACAGTCAGGGGAAGAGTGGTGGAAGAGCATTACAGATAAAAGGAGCAACATAAGCAAAGGCTCTGAGACGAGAAAAATCATGGGAAGTTAAAGGACTTAAAAAAAAAAGCAACTGTGGCAATAGTGTAGGGAGAGAGTGAAAGAAGATTAAGCTGAAGATACAGATAGGGGCCAAATAAAATTTTGACTCTCCCTCTTCTTTGCCTCTCTTTCTCAATACCCATTCAATAACCAAGTGCTGTAGAATCTACCTTCATAAACTCATATGCATTTACTCTATTCCATTCTCACTACCACTGCTCCTGGCTCAGGCCTTCTTTAACTCTCACCTGAACAATTATCGCTAAAGTCACTTAACTGGTCTCCTTGCCTCCGATTTTTCCCTCCCTTCAATCCATCCTCCATAGACTCTTCCACCTAGCAAAAAGAATGACCTTCTGAAGGTATGCCTATGATTGTTATTTCCTCTTTAATTAAAAAACAAAAAAAAAGAAGTCAGCAGATAGCCATAATCTCTAGGATAATATGCAAACACTTCCATCTAGAATTCAAGTTCCTACTTTATAAAAGACAAAGGCATCTTTCTGTTTTATTTGTCTTTTCGAAGAATCAGCTTTTGCTTTTGTTCCACTCTATTTTTTCGGTTTTCTATTTTATACATTTTTGTTCTTTGTTATTTCCTTCTTTCTACTTCTTTTGATATACTCTAGTTTTTCTAACTTCTAGAGCTGGATGCTTAATCCATTAATTTTCAGTTTTTCTCTTTTATTTCTAATTTATTCAGTTGTATCCAACAAGTTTTAATATGTAGAGTTTTCATGGTAGGTCAGTTCAAAATATCTTATTTCCATTTTTATTTCTCCTTGACCAGTATAATATCCAATAGTAGGTTTCAAAATTTCTAAACACGGATTTTCTGGTGTATTTTAAATTGATCTTTAATTTTCAACATTGAGGTCAGAGAATGTAGTCTGTATGACATAAATTCTTGTGCATTTGTTAAGATTAGCTTTAAAGTCTAGAACATGGTCAAGTTTTGTAAATATTCCATGTGTGCTTGAAACGAATGTGTATTTTCTAATTATTGGGCAGAGTGTTATTTATATGGTCCATTAAGTTTGTTATTAGTGTAATTAAAGTCTCACTAATTTTGAATCTACTGTATTAATCTCTGAGAGAGGCGCATTTTAAATCATGATGACATGTAGATTTGTCCATTTTTCCTTGTAGTTCTGTCAACTGTTTGGATAAAAGTGTATCACTATGGCAAATATTGTTAATTGGCTAAAAGACCATATCTAATCCCCTTCCTCCCCTGATGCTTCTCACTGAAGATTCAGCAAAGCTAATATTTGCTTTCCCAACTTCCGTTAAGGGTGGCCATAACCCAGTTCCGGTGCATGAGACTGAGGTGGAAATCTTCTAAGAAAGCTCTTTGGAAATCTTCTAGAAAACCATTTAGTTCCTGATAAAAAGGGACAGATGCAGCTGGTATAGCCCTTCTCTCTTCTGTCTGTCTAGAAGGTAGATATGATAGCCATCCTGTAACCACGAGGCTACAAGCGTGAAAGAAAGCTGATAGCATCTTGATATACTAGTCCTGACATCATCATTTGGAACAAAAATGTTTTAAATTTTACCCTCACTCTTTGGTCACAGCTTAAGGTGACAATTATTTTCCCTCCGCATTATCTTTTGGTTTCTATTGATGCTGCACACTTTGACTTATAGAAACTCAAAATTGGACTTATCAGAAACTGCTAGATTCTGTTTGTTGACTACATCCAGATTCACTAATTTCCTCTTAGTTCCTGAGCACTTTCCCACCTCAGAGCTTTCGTTCATGTTGCTCTTTGTGCCTTGAGAATTCCTTCCCACAGCTGTTTTCCTAACTGGCTAATTCTGTGTCCTTCAAGTCTCAGCTCAATTGCTTCCTGTCAGAGAGGCTTTCTTTGACCACCTTACCTAAGTAGAATGTATTTTGTTAATCTTTATTCTAGTACTGTTTCATTTCCTTTATAGTACTTCTCTTAATTTGTAGCCACATATATTTTCCTTTGTTTCTCCTTACTGGGATCTTCCTCACACACTGTACACTCCATGAAGGTAGAGACTATGTTTTCTTGACCACTGTGCTTGGCGTAGCTCCTGGAACAAAACAGGTGCTTAATAAGTATTACTTGAAGGACTGAGTGAAGAAGAAGAAATGAAATATCTTCTACAGGTTTTTGTTTTCCTTTAAAAATTCTTTTTAAACTCTGTGATATAGATCATAACAGTTAAGGGTCTTAATTCTCAAATATCTGGTATTTGATTACTTTTACTTATTAGTGTTTCATTTATCTGAGCTTCATTCATAGTATGTCACTTATCTGGACTATTCATTTCATCCAATGCCAGCTCTTGAGAAAGAAGGTGCTAAAATTTCCTCAAGAGGGCACTCTGCTCCAAATCTCTTACCATCTTTTCTTTGAAAAAAGAGAAAGTGCCCAGGAAAAACAAATCTATGTGGCAGTTCATACCAAAAAATAAGGTTTGACCTTTCTAATCATAACATTTCAAATACTGCAGAATAATTCATCATGACCTTTTACAGATGTTCAATCAGACAATCATTTTGATTCTGAAATTCGAGGAAAAGGAAAGAAGACAAAGAGCTGTTGGGTGGGTAACTACTAAGTTATGGACACAGTGTTTGGCATACTTAATTTTACATTATTCTGGGGACTCTACCTATGCAAAACATGGTACATCTCAGTAATAATATTCACTCATTCATTTATTCAACACACATTCTTGGGCCTTGTTATGAAGCAGGCAATAGTAAAATATTTGCATTTCACTTTATTACTAAGCTCTTTGACATCAATTTCATCTTTGCTTCTTACAGAAGTATCAAAGAAATTTTTTTTTACAGATTACATAAACTACTGTCCTGTGTCTCTATTTCCTTATGGGTAAAATGGGGATAATAATAGTACCCGGGATTATTACACATATGAGAAAGATAGCTAATATTTTAAAGTAATTAGAACAGTACCCAAAGTAAATGCTCAGTAACTGCTTGCTAGTATTACTATGAACAGTTTTCCAGTGTGGAGAAGGCAACAAAACATAGATGGTCAAGTGAGATAAAAAATGGCCCATACTAGTGGGCATGTATATAAAAAGAGCTGACCATAGATAGTGTACATAATTCAGCTAGCAATTAGGGAAAGAACCAAAGTTAAGGACAGGTAAAAGTAAAAATAGTTGCAATGTTGTAAATAATGGTTTTTCTGATTTTTTTCTGTTTTACATTGAGAAAGATACTTACAGAAAATGATGATATAGGACCAACAAAGGCATATCCAATAGGAATTTAGCTAGGACCTTGAGGTGTTTATAGCTATGTGACCAGGCCAGCTTCTAATATTCCAAAGGACAGAGATCCATCAGATATTATCTATGAAGGTTGGGTCTGGAAACAATATTATCCACTTGGACCAAAGCTGACCTTCTTCACCTCATGGAAATATTATAACTATACATATAATAGCAGATACAAATGTAAGGTAGGCATTCTGTTATATTTCATTCTAAATCCTAATCATATTATATATCAAAAGATACATTACTTAAAACTTAAATGCAAATAATAGAAACAATTTGTTATTATTAATTCTAATAGTATCTATATAATCATATATTTATAAACTCTCAAAGCATTTGATATATTAATTTTTAAAGAGAATCACTATCCCTAGGAAGTATATAGGTCACAAATATTAGTAATCTCTTTATATCAAACTTTTCTGTAATGGTTGTAGACACAAATGAGTCTTGGAAATACTACAAATAGTATTGGGAAAGGTAATCTGCCATAGGCCCTGAGCATTCCTGCAAGTTCTTACTGGTATGCCAAGAATGCAAAGCCTTCAGCGCTCTTTACTGTGGCCTTTTCTCAGAGTTAGGTTTGCAGAGAGCAATCTTGAGAGATAAGGTAATGTCCCCTCCAGGACAAAGAGCTGGCTTGCTTCAAACACAAAAAACACAAACCTACTGTCAAGCTGATTCCGACTCATAGTGGCCCTATAAGACAGAGTAAAACTGCTCCATAGGGTTTCCAAAGCTGTAAATCTTTACAGAAGCAGACTGCCACATCTTTCTCCAGAAGAGCGGCTGGTAGGTTCGAATCACTGACCTTCTGATTAGCAGCTGATCAACTGTGCCACCAGGGCTCCTTCCTGACTTGCTTATTACTTATTAAAAGCTGAAAATTTCTCAAATTCAGCATTATTCAGATGTCATGCAAACCCACTGTATGCACAATGTCCACCTGGGCCCTCTATATCACCTCCATGGTTCTTGTGGGCAAGGGAACTGGTGCAAACATGCAGGTGTTCATGCTATTTGCTAGGCCATCAGTAATTGTTTTCTTTTTGTCTCTGACAGGAATCTTATGTCTTTTGCCAGCATCTACTGGCCAGATTAATCAGAGTAGCTGATGCAGTAGCATACTCATGTCAAGAACATGTAGGAAAGAGGGATGGGTTGTTGGGAGAGGCTACCTACCAAGGGCTCTAAGCATCCTTGCATATTTAACTGGATATGCTAAGAATACAAAGTCTTCACTGCCTTTTACTGAGGCCATTTCTCAGGGCAATGTTTTCCTCAGCGATAAAGAACAGGCTTGCTTACTGCTTACTATGAAAGCGATAGACTCCCAGAGTTCAGTGTTCCTCAGCTATGATAGAATCCCACTGCATGTACAGTTTCCATCTAGCTCTTCTGCTTCTCCCCCGTTGTTCTTCCGGACAAGGGAAACTGATGCAAAACATACAAATGTTCATGCTTCTTGCTGTGTTGTGAGTAATGAAGTCCTTTATCTCTGACTCTCGAGTCTCGTGTCTATTGTCATTACCCAACGGTAAAAGACTTCTTATTTTGTATGTAGGTTATATCAAATCACAGACCTATATAAAATCTATATTATTATAATATGAAATGTGGTATAAGAAGTAAGAAATATGATTAGAGAGGTGGGGAACAGCTAGATAATGGAGAGTCTTTATCTTATAGGCAATGGGGAGCCAATAAATAGTTTAAGCAGGCAATGACATGATTGGATTTGTGTTTTTGTTTTTTTTTTAAATCACTCTGGAGACTATGCGAAGGATTAATTGGAGGGGAACAAATCTTTAGGCAGGGAGACCAGTTCAGAGGTTACCATAGCAATCCAGATTAGAAATGTTGAGAGTTAAATGGAAATAAGGGGACAGATTAGAGAAATATATAAAAGGATTCCTGAGTGGGTATAAGATGGAGGGTGCTGCCAACAACTGCAAAGATAGAAGGAAAAATAGGGTTAGAGACAGAGACTTTTTGAGTTCTGTTCCTTAATATGTGGAATTAGAGATGTCTGAGAGAAATCTATGCAGAGATGTCTAGCAAAAAAAGAAAACCAAGAAAGGATATATGTGGATCTGAAGCTTGAAGGAGATGGCTAGGTTCAAAACACAGGTTTATGTGTCATCTATATTAACAGTTCCCTAAATCATTCTCTCCAAAGACGGCAATTTTCTTGCATAAATCAAAGAATACAAAACTGAAAATACAAGCACCTACATTCTACCTGAAACCTAAACATAATTTAAATATCCACATAAATAGCTCAGTACAGTGCAATCTGGTATTGTTCTTTTACCCAGACTACAAGACACCACTACCATATTAATATAGAGTATGAACGGATTGGAAAGCTAGGGCTGTTTCCTCATTATTTACGTCTACCTGGATCATTTTCTTGTCTCAATTGATTTAGGTGTCTGGCTGTATTCTGGTTTTTGGTCTTTTATTTAAAGTGAATCTTTATAATTGTTGGCATCAGATAGGAAAGGAAACAGTTTAAAAAAACCCAAGTTTTTATTTTTATTTTTTTATTGTACTTCAGGTGAAGGCTTACAGAACAAATAGTTTCTCATGAAACAGTAGTACACATATTGTTTTATGACATT